AAAAAGTCAAGATGGCAGCTGTGCTCATGTGTTGAAAGTGCCACCTGCTTTTGTACGCACGGCATTAAAAAGGGGTGCAGGCTTGAATTGCACATTTGCAGCTGGCATCTGCTCTTGGTTGAGTCCCCCGCGGACAGCCCGGGTTTAATTGTAGGACTATGATTAGATGCTCTCAAGGGCAATAACTAGCGAAGCTTTTCCTACGGCGGCGGCTCCTCAGCCCGTGTTATTCAGTGTAAGCTGGAGGTTGTACACAGACTTTCCAACTAACTCGGTGAATTGGTCTTATGCCCCTTTCTGCATCCATCTCAGCTCATGGCTGGTGGCCAAAGGCTCCCGTGGATCTGGCTGAGCTAACTGGAAGCTTTCCCCATCCTGTTCGCGCAGCCGCCCAGCCCTCGCCCACAGGTCTCAAGACTCCACTTGATGTCCCATTGTTACCATGTCCAAGTGAGTTTGTTGGCAGGGATACACACCCCTTGGGGGTGGGAATGGGGAAGGCAGAGCGGTTTCCTTGCATTGTTGCCGTCCAAGGCGACAAAGCACAGATAGTCCCACAAGGAAACTTGCAGGTGGGAACCCATCGCATCTTTTGCTGTCAACGATCTTGGGGGCTGGTTGGCTTGCTAAGCGCTATAGAGCAGTGTTTCTTAAACTTTTAGCTCTCTGGAAAAAGTATGGATATGGAGGACCCCAAAAGAACTTTGGTTTATATGGGGTATATTTATCGCTATTTACTGTATTAAAAATTAAAAGTGACACACTGGCTGCCAGTACTGCTTCTCACAATTTTTGGATGGGATTTCAATATTGCATTATTTTTCAACCGAGGCTGGCAAATCATTTTGATTTCGAGGACCCCTGATGGGGGGAGCCCTAGGGGTCCTAGGACCACACTTTAAGAAACACTGCTATAGAATAAGTTAATAGCCAGAGCAATCAATCAATCAATCAATCAAAAATCTTACCCTCCCCCTACTGCTCCCAAATACTTGTTTTTTCCAGAAAAAAAAGCACTTAGAATGGGGGAGCCTGGGGGGGAGGTCAAAAGAGTCAAGATGGTGGTTGTGACCATACAATCAAAGCCAGACTTTTTTGTGTGAATCTCATGTGCAGCATTCATAAAAAAGAAGCATGATTTCAGTCATACGGTCGCTTGACATTTTGGACACACACACACCCCCTTGGACACCCCTACTGGAGTGTTTACACACCTGCCCTTGATGTTGGTAGTGGATAAAATGTATATGCACATCTATGCTCCGATTACAATCAGTCAGCTGGGTACCTTTGAATTGTCCCACTAATTATTTTTGGAGGTTGGAGCTAATTGCCCCTGTAATCACAAAACACTCAGGTTGGCCCCTGAGAAAATATGTTTCCTACTAAATGATCGCAGTCCAGACATTTCCAGAAAAGTGACTACATTTTATGCTATAGCACAGTGTTGCTCAACCTTGGCCACTTGAAGACCTGTGGACTTCAACTCCCAGAATTCCCCAGGCTGGCTGGGGAATTCTGGGAGTTGAAGTCCACAGGTCTTCAAGTGGCCAAGGTTGAAAAACACTGGTTTAAACAAATAAAAGGAGTTGGTTTTCACAGCAAAGATGCCAGATCGCCATTTTCATGGATAAAAAATAGAAGAAATACGCAGGGCTCTCTGTCCATTCGGGGACAACTGCTGAAAGGTAGCATAAAATCTAAAAAGATAGAACTGGGGTGGGGGGGTTATGATTGCCTTCAGCCCCCTCAGACGGCTTGATTTCTCACGAACGACGTTGTCTGAGCCCCAATATTGAGATAATCGGTCCCCACATGGAATGGCCTGGGAGCAAGGACAATTCTCCCCACGCACTCTGCCCCCGGCAGCAAACTGCCTTGAGCAAAACACGAGAGTCGCATAACTCTTTTAGAAATATATATATCCTTGAATAATATTTGTATTAGATAAGCATATATAGAATTCTGTTTCCTATCATAATGATATATTGACTTTTTTGCACTTTGAGGTTAAAGCGCTTTTATCAATGTTTTCCTTTTTTTTGCAATTAAAAAATAGTAATTTGAAAAAAACTGCCTTGACCTTATTCCCCATTCAACCCCCTTGATGGGACGCTCCCGTAATCCAAACGCACAGGTGGTCCTTGCCAATTTTTTCCCCTCTCCCAAACCCCAGCAACCCTCTAAAATGTGCTGCCCGCAGCAAGCAGGCGCTGGCCTCAGCTTCTTCGAATTTCGCCAGCTTTGGAAAAGAAGCTCCTTCCGTTCACCTGAGATTCCCACCTGCCTCCAGCCCAGATGCTGATGCAGCAGGAGAGAAGCTCCAGGAGGGGAGCAGAGATGCAGGATTTCTGCTGACGAGAAAGTGGCTGGGCTTTGATTTCTGGCTTTTATGCTCTCCAGTGAACTTTCAAAGGCAGAAGGGGACCCTGCAAGAATTCACGGAATTCGCACCCGTGTAGGCACACGCCAAAGGATCCTTTCCCGTCAAAGAGAAAAATGTGTTTTTCAGGAGATGTATCTAGGATCTTCTGCACATTTTTACTTCTCCCCTTTCCTCTAAGTCGGTGTTTCTCAACCTTGGCAACTTTAAGACGAGTGGAAATCTCATGCTCTCTTTTTTCCCATGCCCCCTGCCCGCGGTTTAGCTGTATGTGGTGCTGTTATTTCAGGTTGTTTAAAATTTGATCT